TACATAAAAGATGGCTGCAGCCATCAGGACATCACCCATTGTTTAGTGAAGTCCAGTTGAAAAGGTACAAGCGTTTTTTTTGTTCCGTTTTGCACTTCTGACAACTGGAAGCATGATATGTATTTATGACTCTGATCACAGAGATGTGTCGGAGTAACCTTGAATAGTAGCTAAGTCTTTAGAAATTCCTTTAAGAATTACAAATAAAGAAGAGCTCAGAGTGAAATAAAAATCTTATATAAATGGATGATTCATAAACTGTGATGTACAAAGTTAGTCATGTTTCAGTAATTTTAAAATTAGACAGAAATAACCAGAAGAAATAGAGAATGCAGTTTTTAAAAGATGATGTCATCCATTAGGGGGAAAAAGCTATTCAAACCTGGCTCTGAGTGAAAAACTAAACTTAATAACTGGTTGTGGCACCCTTGGCAGGAAGATCTGAAAGCAATCATTTGTGATAAATGTAGATTTTTTTTTTATTTTATTTATTTATTTATTTTAATTCAGCAGCATGGGAGCCATGCCAAAGCATTTCTGATGGATTTAAGTCTAGACTTCAACTAGGCCACTCCAGAAACTTCATTTTGCACTGTTTTTTTTTTAGCCATTCAGTAGCAGAGTGACTGGTGTATTTTAATACATGCTCAATCATCGAGGTAAGGAAAACCCAGAAAGTTCATTCTGTTCGTCTGAATTTAGTGGGAACTTCTTGAGTTTCCGCTAACAGCAGGTATCCCCAAACTTCTAAATGGTATAGTTGCATTATGACAAAAACTAGCACCATTGATGGTTGTGAGCTCAGTTTCGTGATTGTTAATATGCAAGTTGTCATCGCCATTGTCCATGCTGATGACAAGTGAGGTGTTTCAGATCACTTTCTGCTGCATAACCTTCAGGGTACGAACTGATAGTCAGACGTTCTCCTTCACGATTTTCAGGAAGAGAGCAGAATACATAGTTCCTCAAATTTTGAAAGTTATCCTGGTCCTGAAGCAGCATCATACTACCACCACCATGTTTGACTGTTGGTATGAGGTTCCTTTTATGAAATGCCATGTTAGTTTTATGCCAGTTGTATTTTTCCTCCTGGGGTTCATCAAGACATTTTTTAGCAAACGTGAGATGAGCCTTTGTGCTCTATTTGGTCAGCATTGGTTTTCACCTTACAATTATCCCATTTTGCCACGTCTCTTTCTTTTTGTTGAATCATAAGTGTAGCCACGACCGTAACTGAAGCAAGTCGAGCCTGCAATTCTTTAGATGTTGTTTTGGGTCCTTTTGTAACCTAAATAAGTCGTTCATGCTCTCTTGGAGTAATTTTTGTAGGCTGGCCACTCCTGGTTATGTTCACCACTGTTTTTTAATTTGTGGATAATGGCTAGCAGCATGGTTCACCAGAGTCTAGGCCTGGGTTTGGCCAATAAAAGTGAACTCAGCTTTCAAAAAATGTGATTACTCAGTTAATTCATGACTTAACAAGGGAGGAAAGAACTTTTTTTCCCACATAAGGTCTGGTAGGTTTGGATAACTTTTCTTCCCTTAATAAATGAAATCCTCATTCTAAAACTGCATTTTGCTTTGATCATCTTTGACTAATATTAAAAATGTTTTGAAAAGGTGAAACACGTAAATGTGACAAATATGTACAAAACAAGAAGGCAAATTGTTTTTTCACAGCATTGTACACTTGTCTACTTTCTGTATTAAACATCAACCTGCAGGGCTAAAAATGTCAAAGTGCCAAAACTACAGTTCCAACCAAGCGGACAACTTAGCAGTCCATTCTCAAATCTAAATAAGAGCAATTCCTCCAGCCGATAACCAGCACGATGGCACCCAAGGTGTAAAAGCTAAGGCTTTAACATGAGTCCAAATACCTTTACATATCCCTGTGTATCAAAGAAGACTTAAAATTGAAAATTCATCAAGGCTTATTGTTCCACAACATATCTTTAGTATAAGAGCAAAAAATAAAAACAAAAAAAACATGTGCTACAAGTGGATGAGGCATAGTTTTCTCACCAGGAAGCGAGATGCCTCTGACTAGGACCATGTGGAAGGGATCTTGACTGTAGTCAGGAAGAGATTCAACTGCCCCCCCTACTGGTGACGCACGTTCAAACAAAGCCCTTAGAGGGGGCAGTTTCCGAGGAGCCACAACAGAGAAATGAATTCCTCTCTAAAAAAAACAAAAAACAACAAATATATATCAAGGTTAATACTATGATTATATCTAACCCAGTAAAAATAACCTTCACCAAAAAAAGCCAGCCTGTCCTCCAAGTATCTACTGAGGACAAAATCTGTGTTTACTTACATCTCTGATGATTTTGACCAGGCTGTCTGCTGTGCAGCCGGTGTAGCTGACACTCTCCACAGCAGGAAGCAGGTAAGGAGGGGAATTACACAGCAGCACGCACACTTTGTGGGTCTGACCTCTGCAGCAGCACACAGAAAGAGGGAGAGACATAAAAGTTTAGATTTTCATCACTACTAAGCCAATTCAAAGAAGAAAACGGGCGTTGTTGTAATTGTTTTTTTCTTTTTACTTGAATTTCATGAGATATTAGAAACGTTTTAAAGATGATTTTAGCAAGAAGACCCAGTTATTTTGGGGATAAAGGAAGACTTTTATTATAACGATTCAATCATGGTTTTGCCTCTTACAGAGAAGCTATTATACTTTTCCTTTACCATTAATTTGGTGAATGTTCATCTATATAACCAAAGTTACATATGGTCAACGTTTTGAAAATGAGGTCAGTTTATGTGAGTGTAATTTGTGTGAGGTGAAAGCTCAGATTTTTTCTATTTTTGTCTCATAATAATGTTAATAACAGCAGACATCCTGAATATATTCATCATAGACACTGAGAGCAATGAGGCCCCACCCATTTGCCATTTTAAGCAGGTATTTCGAAGAGGGAGCCAATCTGAGAAAACGGGTTAAAATTACAGGGAATGATGCTAAAACATGTCGTTTCAGAAAGACGATGAACTGACTGGATCAAATATAAGAAAAATAAGGATTATTGAACTGAGAGGTAGCAGCTGAAACAGCTTGTTTGAACTTGCTATTCGAAAAAAGCTACTCTGGTAGGCCCAATACAAACATGGAGCTAGAAAAGAGAAGAATATGTTCTTTTAAGCGAGTGCCAAAATTTGCTTCTCACTGCCTTTTACCAAGTTACCTTGGATGAAAAGATTCTGCCTCTAGGTTTGTTTTATCAATGAAGAAAACACAGGCTTACATCTGCTCCCTCATTTTCTTAAAGTCATCGAAAAGCTGCAAGGCCACAGAAAGTCCCTCTGCAATCAGACTGCAGCTTTCTGCTCCACCTCCCATAAACCTGTGTGGAAAAAAAGGTGTGATTTTCTATGATTTCTCTTCATGATTAGAACAAAGGGGCAGTTTAAAAGGTGTAATAGGGAAATAGTTTTTACTGGATGTTGTCGATCCAGGACACAAATTCGAAGGCTGAGCTGGTTGGCGCGTGACACTGGACATATGACTCCGGAGCGCAGTCCACTGTGTTGAAGACCACAAGGCCATACTGTGTGCCCCCGTACTAGAAAAAATAAAATAGTAATAATAAATTATCCACAGAATTCAAAAAACATATTCGAATTTCAGCAAACAGTGACAGGGAATGCAAGCTAAAGCATTAAAAGCAGAGATTAGACCGTCTACAGTGTACCTTGCCTCTTGCCCTATGTCAGCTGGGAAAGGTTTTAGCCCAACCTTAAGTTGGATAAGCGGTTAAAAAGATAGAAAACAGGAATTACAGCAACACTCACATCTCCACCAAAATCTGTTTCTGCTGGAGGCCCTCCATTAAAATACCTGTGGTGAATGAAATAAAATTAATTCATGGCTACATGACATTAATGAGTTAGGAAATAATGGGTAGCTTTAGATACTTACTCAATAGCTGGAAGTATGTAATTTTTTCTTAAAGATTCAAAGTATGGTCCAAGGTTCGCTGTCCCTTCAATGACAAACACCACATCAGCCACCTGGTTGGGCCCAGGTTTACTGGATGGCTCCATGAGTGCCGAACCTGCCACCATAGATCTAGATACAGAGGAGAAGGTTATCATAGCTTTAAAAAAGAAAAAAAAAGAAAGAAAGAAACTACAATAAAAACCAAAATTAGGTGTGAAAAATATTTCTTGGTTAAAAAAAATAAAATAAATGTAGTCTGACTGATTTCTTCTTTTAATTCTTATTTTTATGTCTATTTAAGCGTTATATGACAGTATGTTTGCACTAAGTACCACATCAATTTCCTAATGTTGTAAACCTGTTCAACATTTGGCAATAAAACCCTTTCTGATTCTGATTCTTCATCACCAGCATTAGCAGGATTTGGTACATGTAACTTTAAGCCTCTTACCTACCTTTCTATTTTAATGCATTTCTGATATTCTTAAATCTTGATTCAATAAATATAATTCACAATATAATCATAAAAAGCTATAATTGACATTGAAAATGACAAAACAATTCTAAAAATCACTTTTTTTAAAACGTGGATGAAAGGCCCTTGTGGTCTAAGGAGCTTGGAAAGAAAACCGTCTGGACTTCAGATCTGAGACTCGCCACCATTTGACCCTAGAACTGAAAAAGCTTCTCGGATGAGAGGTGAAACGTGTTCAAGCAACTCAAAGAAGTCCAGATGCTTTTTTTTCCAAGCTCCTTAGACTACGATGACTGAGAACCTTCCCAGACAAATGTCCTTGTGGTGTTTATGGCATCTATTATGATCTATACGTATACTCTGCAGCACAGTGAGAAGACAGACACATTGGACTACAATTTAAACCCCTATTCAAAAGTCAGGACAACAGTATCAATCAAGTTGTGCTTGTTTATTTTCCTTTAAAACTAAACAAAAGCAAAAACATGTTAATTCACTGCACATTTCATATATATTCATTTAGAAAGCATTACATTTTAATTTTTTAATATTGTCTTCTTATTATTGGAACTACTATCTTTAGTGTCTTGATGCATGCTGAATCATCCAGGTAAGTAAATCCCAAAATGTTGATTGTGTTCATCTGGACGTAGCGTTTTCAGTGGGAGAAACATTTCGTCACTCATCAAAGTGACTTCTTCAGTCACAGCTGATGTTGTGTTTGTTAATGAAGAGACAGCGAACCTTGTACCATAACTTTGAATCTTTAAGAAAGAAATATATACTTCCAGCTATTGAGTAAGCTACCCATGGCTTAAACAGTACAGTACTGACCCCACAAACCAGTAGTCACCAGTGGTGTTAGTTTTAGTCAATATGCAAATGCACTGTTTATAACCTGCAGTCAACTGAGATTGAAAACCTCACTTGGTTGAGTGACGAAACGTTTCTCCAACTGACAACGCAAAGTCCACATGAACAGCTTCAAATTTTGGGATACCATCTTTTCTTTACCTTGTTTAATTTCCTGTTTGATTTCTTACCTTAATTCGAGCTCGATTATCTATGTTATTTGCTTTTTTGCGTTTCTGTTTTGTCAGGTACACAAGTAAATCACTCTGAGCTGAAACACCCCGATGTAAGATAGTGATTTCAGGGACACCCAGCAGCTACAGTACGATGGAAGCATTCGACTTCACGTCTGTGAAGCTGTAACAGTTTTATATTCTTTCTCAAAGAAAAACAAAAACAGCACTTGTGTTTTTCAGTGTAGCACACTTGCGGGAAATGTTTTCTTTTTTGTTTCTTTTTGTTTGTGTGTTTTAAACCGGTGATAAAATATCAGATGTTTGCTGCGATAGCTGTGCGCTCCAGTTTTAAAGGTAGGACCTAAAAACCTAGCTGGTACTCTAGTCGCTAATCATTAATCCATAATTAATATTGCTAATCGACATTATCGCCAAGGGGAGGTTAAACGCAAGTTAAAGAAGTCAACAACAGCTGAAGTGCGCACAGCTTTCGTTTTAGCGTTAGCTAGCATAGCAAACGTCAGTGAGCGATTCAAGCTAATATAGTTCAAATAACCCAATTAACAAGCCTTTTTCAAGCTGTTAAGTGATGTAGACTGACCTGATGGACTGTGGCTGTCCGACGAACCGCTGAACCGGTTGGACCAAACTGTAACTTTAAAAATTAACTTGAATTAGACAGCACAGTTAGCGTGAGCATTTATTGTATTTTTGGCGGAAGTGACGAAACGACACGCCCACAAGAGTCCAAGAATCTAAAAAAAAAAAAACTTTATTAATAACAACAAAGCGGAACATGGCATACATCAGGTTGTCAAGAACACCGAAATGAGTAGAAGGAAAATAAACGAAAACGATACAACTTGGGAATTACCATAAACACAAAATACCAGGGGGTTTCAAGCCGTTCTAACACATAGAATTATAGAAGTATACTAAAATCTTTAAGACGGTGACACGGTTTTAAGGTATTTTCAATTCTTGCTGTCCATTATTGAGAAAATATAATGCTTTATTATCAAAAGTAATTCAGTGAAATTTGGCTTACGACTGGAGAACTTGGATGTGTGAATACACTGTCAATATCACTGTAACCAAGCAAAACGTTTTTCGAGCATAACGAAAGATTAGGGTTACCATGATCAGAAACAAAACGTGAAAGTATGCTCTAGAGATGTTTCGTAAACTAGCAATACCAGAATAAATGAACCACTGTTTCAATATCGGTTTCACAAAAAGTAACAATTCACATTAATACCCCTTACAAAGACTAAAACCAACCCCTGATAGTAATGAAAACTAAACTAAATCTAAACATTTCCAAACATTAAAAACTAAACCAAAGCATTGCCAGTTCCCTTAAAACACAAAATAAAAATGAAATAAAAATGAAATCTAATTAATAGAAAATTGTCCATAAAACTGGTTATGGAAAAATCAAGTGTGTGATCATGTATGAGTTGTATAGTTTTAATGTTTTATTTGGGAACAGAATGGTGTGTATGTGTAAGTTTGGTGATGGAGTTTTTATTATGAATGAATGATGAATTTTTATGAATTATTATGTCTATTTTTTATGCTTAA